TACTTGACACATACCCCAGTTACAGGAAATCCTGGATGTATATGTATCAAAAACTTATAGTGCTTGCTAAACTTACCAAAATAAGCATGAAACAGTTAAACATAAAAGAAAGAGCAAGTTTCAGACTCCTGGTTCTGGTTCCCAGCTAGAGCTGACTCTTAAGCACAAGAGGTTTTGTATCCAGAGAAGTGTTTTCTTCCCTGTTACTCTGTGCGCAGCAGTAAGAACTAGTGAAACAGACTACAGACACGCTGCAAGACTAGAAGATGCTCATCTTTCCAGTGTACGCCACTACAGCCAATGACCCAAAGCGGAGCAGAGGGTCTCAAGATTCCTGGCACAGTGGCAGCGTTTGAAGATTATGGCATAGTTAATCACCGCGACTTGGCATATCTAGTTCGAAGTGCACCACAGGACTGTGCCTTCAGTTTGCTTCAGTCATCTGATGTAAAATCATTTCAGTGGAAATGCTGAGGTCAGAAAGAACCATTTCTGTAGTGGGAAAAAAAACCCAAAGAATGTGACTGATTTCGCCTGTTGAGCATATGAACTCAGAGGACAGTATCCCGCCTCATCGATATGATGCTCACATCATTGTCCGGTCCTGTGTAAATGTAAAGGTTACAATGCTCCGGCTTTCCGAACTGTAAGTAACCATAAGCAGGCGTTCTACGGAATTGCACCAAGCAAAATCAAACTGCCATAAAGTTCATGTGTGGCACTAATTGCAATTTAACTGCATGGTTATTACAAGAGCTTTTAATTAACCCAGTCATCATACTGTGGCGTACAAATTGTGCATAATAACAGCATGCTGAGCATAATGACAATAGGTTTGTCTGAACTGTGAAAATCAGGAGTTTTATAATTTTCTGAGGTTTCTTTTTATGCCCTTAAATATTGTGCAGTATTTAAGAACATTTGACCAAAAGAAAAAAACAAAAAAACAACAGAAAAACCCCTAGTAAGTCGCTGAGGCTTGTGTGTTTTAAAATTTTATAGCAGTCTTTAATTCTTCCTGAAATTCAGTGAGATGTTTAATTCTCTCCTGAATAATATTTTTGGTGTTTGAAGCCAAGAAAAATGGTCAGTTTGTGGAAACATTCAGTGAATGTTTCCTTTCAGTGAAACTGGAATATAGTAAGAATACATTCTGTTCAGATATTGCTGCAAAATGGTAATTTGTTAGATCATTAGTGTAGTGAGAGCATTCCCCTTCTCTCAAAGTTACGATTCCGGTCTGTGTTTCTTAAGACTGGCAGTAGTAGCACTGAACCAATTTTTACTTGGAAGGTTAATTTTGCAGCCCAAAGGCTAAAAATAATGAAACAGTGTGGCTAATGGATATAGTTGTAGTCCTTCAGAAAACACGGGAAATACAACTAAGTGGCATTACGCTTAGACGGTGTACTCGTTCCTGGAGACCTAAAGAATGCATTAAAAAAAAAAGCAGACATTATTATGGAAAGCGTATTTATCTATTTTTTAGACTATCATCAGTCCTGTACTGGGAAATGAGATACTGATGTTTTGGTTTTAAATTATCTGGCTCACAGACAGAACAGGCACCTGACGGCAAGGTGAAAGAGTATATGATATGAAAGAGTATATGACCTTTTCATGTGCACAAGTTTACTGACGAAACTGGGTGACAGTGAAGACTGGGCCAGTGAGGGAGGCAAAAGTACATTTGGCATGCATATACAGTTAATCATTTAAGCATGACATAAAAGTGACGGCCATTGGTGAACAGTTAAAAAAAGACAGATTGGGTTCAGCTAGGTGAGTGATACAAGTGCGACGTGCGAAACACAAAAAGAAGAACCCACACTACGCAAAGCCAGTCAGTCAGTCAGTGGTCCCAGGGGTTTAAATATAAGAGAGATGAGAAAGATAACGGATGATGACATCATCATTGTGCGTGCTTGTACATGCTGAAGTAGCTCACCCTGCAGAAACTACGTCTGAAGAAGTGACTTTGCTAACGGTTGGTGAGCTGTCAGCTGTGAGAGCTGTTGCTGTCATTAACAGAACAGAGTTCTCAGCAGTATGATTACTGTCATGCACTTCTTTGTGGGAACGGCAGAGGTGTACGTGCTGCTGTACAAACGCTTTTTATCATTTAACTAATGCTGTTTTCAGAATTTTCCAAAAATGGCTTTTGGAAAAAAAAATCAGTTCTTAAAAAGACATTTCAGATAATGACTGGATTTTTATGGTATTTAGATATATAAATTTTACCCAAGATTAATTTTTTAAGGAAGATTTCATATTTGAAACTAAGGCTTATTTTTAAATGTATCAGTGAATGCAAATTTCCCAGTATTGCACGATGCATTTCTTGAAACATTCACTCAAAGATAATAAACAGAGAGAAGGGTCATTAGACAGTATTTTGAAACAACAGTTTAATAAATATAAAACAAATATCATCCATATTCCAAGCCACTGTGACTGTAAAAATTATTGATTTTCTTTATTTGTTAATTTTAGTCAGAGTAAAATATAATGAGATTTTATTGTAAATTCAAGAACTATAGATAGCTGTGGATTCTCCTGCCTTCCTAGTGGAGCTGAATGCATATGTTTTTTTCAGTTTACTATAACTGGAGCCAATTTATTTTTTTTTTTCTTTCTTTTTTTCCCCTGACCCAAAGGACTGGTCCTCATCTGCTCAGGGTCTGTATTAGCCAGTGACTCGTCTCCACCATGTTTCTCCTCCCCCCACAGGCTCCCACCCTGCATGCAGTCAGTCTCTGAGAGTGCCTGGACAGCTAAGGTGCCTCTTTCAGATACGTAAGGCACCTAAGACCTACCACAACGTACACACCTAACCCATGCCTGTCATAAGACAGAGCCTTCTTCCCAAACATCTGCATCTGACTGACTCTGTCTGTTAAACCCTTATTTTTATTCTTGTTAAGACAAAAGAGTTGTTGAAGAGTGTATGGCAAGCTGGAACTGAGGCAACCCAAACCACCAGTTGCTTTGTCATAAAAGCTGATCATAAGCATAATGCTCTTCGTGTCACATCAATGAGCATAAGAGAATATGAGCACAGTGAGACAAGTAAAAGGGCAAAATAATTTTTTGCCTCTGATAGATCTGCATTATATTGGTGTAGAGTGACTGACAGGATAAACTGCTACAGAGGGTGGTGAAATGCAGCGTGGAAGGGGCAGACTTGCACAAGGATGGGTGAAGCCTAGAAAGAGCGTAGAGACTTACAGGGGGGGAAATGCGAGTCCAGTTAAGCTGATGAAGAGCATGGAATAATGTGCTCTGGAGAAGAGCTAATGGGGAAAATAGTGGAAAAAGCATGAGGGAGGTTTGAAACTGAATTTGAGGACAAGAACAAAATGATGCTGTCCAAGAAGACACTGCCTCTGATAAGAAATGGTGAGGTGAATACATCAAGTGATGTTTGAAGTGTATCCCATTAAGTCTCTTAAAGGGCATTAGTCCAGGGGCAATTACCTTGCAGGTAAATTCATGTACCTCATTTGAAGGGGATTTGAACTGTAACTTGAATGCCTAAATTAAGACATGTGAATTGCAGCCAAAAAGGACTATTCACTTTCAACTTTACCCTCACTTTCAATTCATAAGGTGAACGCTCATTCATATGTAGTAATAATACTGATTCTTTCTTCTTTTGACTGGCCTAAACAAGTATATTCAATGAGTCTTTCATTATCACCACTTACACCATGCATAACAACACAGAAACTCATCAAAATTAGATACGTTCATTTTATTTTAAATTTTAAGTGTATTTCTTAACTAACACTACAGCAGTTCTTAGCTGGAAAGGTGGTCCCTAAGACTTGCACTTTTCTCTTTAATGTGTGTGATGGTAACTTGAAACATGAGATTTATTTCCCTTCTTTGTTCTTATATTTAAAGAATATGCAACAGGAAACAATAATTCTTGTTGCATAACCTGTGCACCCTTTCCTCTTTCTCATGGTAGCATTTTGCATATGTTTCTGCTTCAAAAATTGCATCCCTGTCGTAAAGCCAACAGCAATCTCCTCTCTCCCTTTTTCTTTTAAAAAAGTTGACTACCTATTGAAACTGAGTTTTCATAAATCACATACAGTGTTAGTTTTCCAGTAGTGCATGCGTGCTAGCTTACACAAGATATGTGCTGTTCAGTCTGCTTAATATCTTGTCTGATGTGATCCCCAGCATGAAGTATCTCTTATTTAATAAATATGGATGGCCCTAATTATTTTTATTCAGTGACTAGGAAGAATAATGAGCTATGAACATGAATTGATAACCTCTATCATAGAAAGTGCTCGGTATCACATTTTACAAAGAAGAAAATGAGAGTTCACGTGAATTTGTATCTATTGACATCTAGATCAGAAAGCCAGACATATAAAATCCCTTGATATTTTCAACATCTGTGGTCCAAATCATTAAAGTTACATCTTGGATCATTAAATTTACATCTTGCAAAGTTGTAATGCAAGTTTCCACCATGCTAACTGTTCACTATATGCTCTGGGTAACTGTGCTGAACATGCCATAATAATTCATCAACCCTGAAAGAAATCATGAAGTTCAATGCATATTAAAAATGTGATTGGGGTATATTACAGAAAAAATGGAAATGTGCTGCTGTTCACCACACATCATGTTCTCTTGAGGTTACTGTTACTGTCTGCATAACAATACCCTTTCCTTACAGGAAGAAAAAAAGCCACAATCAATAAAATATATGTGATGACTTGCTTACACACCTGGTATTCCTTCAAAAGGAGTGATTTTATTTGGGTTTTTTTTCTACTATAAAATGACTAATTTTGTGTTTACTGCATTCATTATGGATATAGTGTTGAGAAGTATGATAATTAATGGTACTTTTCTTAGCTTAATGTCCACAAAACTTTCTTTCTTATTAAAGTGCACTTAAACTGAATTGAGAGATACATAATAATTTTTGTTTACATGTGTTCTTTCCTTCTTCTTGTGGCTTTTTTCCCTTTCAGGTGAAAAAGGTATGTGGTCCTCCTGTAAGGAAGCCTACGCAGTCTCCAGGTTGCTCCTTTGATCAGAACAAAGATAATCAAGGGTTGAAGATGTTCTCAAGAGACAATGAAGAAACCCTCGCCAACAGAAGAAAGTAAGACATTAGTTTTACAGCCAGAAAGAAAGAATAAAGTAAGCAAGACATTAATTTTACAACAGAATAGATTATATTCAATGCAATGGCATGCATTACTAGAGAATAAATAAAGGCTGCAAAGAATGAAGCATTTCAGCAACACAATGTTACATTTTGGAGAGAGTAATTTCATGACTAGATTTTGTTTTCTGAAATAATGGACATATGACCAGAGTCATTTGGTGTGGTTTAAAGTATTTAAAAGAGTGGATAACAATGGTAGAATATGAACGTTAGCTCTATCTTTATGTTTAAATTTTCAAATTACATTTAACTTGCACATCAGCAGGCATTATTAAATCTGTCAAGAAGTGATTGTGACTTTTATCAGAAGTATTTGTATAAATTGATCGACAGAAAAAAATGAATGACTGTTCTTACATGCCTGTCTACTGTGAAAAGTGAGACAACTAAGCATTTAGGGCTAAATTTTGAAGTCCTCTTTCAAGCTAGTCCAGCTGATTTTTTTCTCTGACTCTTTTGTCAGTATGTAGTGAATTGAGGTGACTGCAAAGACTTGGAGGTTTGATTTATACCTGGCTCAGCATCACAGGGTAAAACTTGCCTAACTGCATATGAGCTAGGTGTTTAAGCTGCCATTGTAGCCTATGGAGAGGAGCTCCACAGCATTCAAGCTATGGAGCTACATACTACAAGCATCCAGTGCCGCTTGAAGATACCCTCGGGTACCCCAACTGATCTTCTGCTGCCAAAAAGGGTGCAGGCGTCCTGTAAGTTGTATCATATATTCCAGCCTTCTGCAGATATCCAGGATAGCTGAGGGCATCTCAAAGGCCAATCTATCTTTAGACAAATTAATCAAGTCTTTAATGACCGTAAGAAGCAATAGCACTGTAAGGAGTAAGGATAGTATTACAGTTGAGACTAAAGGCCCTATTATGCAAATCAAGTACAAAGTTAAAATCAGAAATTTCATTTCTATCACAGTGTTTGCTAAAATACAGAGAGGTTTTCTTTGGTCTCTTTTTCCTTTCATTTAACTTTGCAACGCAGAAAGAAACTGAAGTGAGAGAATTGCAGGGAATAATTGCTCACTCCTGATGTCTGGAGAAGAAAAAGTGCCTCTGAGCTTCAAAGGCAGACCATTCTTGTTAGTGCAAGGTCCTTCATGTTCCAAATAGTGGAGAAAAAAACCCAACACACACAGGGTTTAGAGAACATTGTGAGAATGGAAAGAGATGGAAAACAGAAGTTTCCTTTAGCCAGCACACAAGTTCATCAGACAATACCCATTACACAGACACATTTTCTCTGTTGTGTAGCTAAGCAAGTTCTTGATGTTTTCTGATTGCTAGCACTCTGCAAACATGAAACCATATTCTAAAATCTCGCTTAATCCAGGATTGTTTCATGTTTCAAAGTAAGTGGTGTCTGGATTGATCTCAGGGAGGTTGCCCAAAAAACCTTAAGGGGCATCAGAGGCAGTGGGCAGCACAAAGCAATGTTGTTTTCCCATGACTTCCCCTTGCCTGAGATGCTGGAAACGCTTCATGGCATGCAACAGGCACGACACCAAGAAGGGGGAGGGGGGGAGAAAGTTTGAGATCCACTGACACAGATTTCAGTTTAACAACTTCATAGTTGATATCATCTTCATTTGCTGCCTCCTGGCTCACCTCCTTCCTTATTAGTCACAATGGCTTTATATTTCACTTTATATTCCTGTGGCAACTGTAACAATTCCTCTCATGGAAGAGTGACTTCAGCAGATGCTTACAGCCTGCTTTTATGGAAGTGCTGTTCTCCAAGTCAAACTCCACTTTATTTACCTCCCATGTACTTCTGGCAGCAGGTTGCTCTCAGCAACTTTCACAGGCTTTAGCAGAAAAGAACAGGTTTCTCCCAAACTGTGTAGACTTGCTCGATGACAGTTATTTTAGGGACAACAGATGAACAAAAAGACTTCGTTAAATGTGTGACTCCTAAGAGTTCCCTAATTTCTGAATATTCTTCAAATGCATCTCCAGATGAAAGTTTACATTTCAAAGTGCATGTTGGACTGCCTCTGCCTGAACTTTTCCTAAATTATTTTTATCATCAGACCTAAGCTGGTATTTTCTAGTACTATGTGGTAGAAGAAAAGGAAATTTCTCCGTGCTTCTGACCCCAAAAATTGTCAGATGAGTTTAAAAAATTCTAAGCAGAACCTTCTGTAGTAACATACAAACTTGAAAGTATATAATGCTTTTTCCTCCAGAACTTAACATTGCAGACAGCTTCTAGCAAGGAGAATAAAACTGTAAAAAAAATGAACATTTCCAAATAAACAGATAAGTATGTGCAGCTTCCACTGACTGTAATTGCACATTTGTGCTCAGCTGCCTATAATTACATGCTATCTGGTCTAGAAGATGATGATGTGAAAATTGACATTCATACCATCTGCCCTTCTAACTGCTTTAGTCAGACATCAACAGGGGCTGAAATCAGTTGTTACTTCTGTATTAACTTCAGCTTTGCCTCAGGATGTATTTACTAATAAACTGAATAACTGACCTTTCTGTTAGAATGCAGTTTGTCACAAGATATTATGGTAGCTGTATTCATTTAAATTTCTGTATTATACATGGATTGATTGTGCAGAAGAAGAAGTTCCAACTATTTACTATAAGAGGACTCTCTAAACACTAGTTTTCATCCAGAATGTAAACCCAAAGCATAGACAAAATCAAAATCAATCCCACTCAATGGGAAATGGAGGAAAATTGCAAACATACTGTGCACACTGGATGCAATGTTGGGCATGGAGAAATACAAGATATGACTATCCATGGCTGGGAGAGTGTGGATGAATCATATTTACATATTTAAAATATAGTGCGCATAGGCACTTATATGATGCATAGTTAAAATTGACCCCACCCGAGATTTTCAGAACTGCAGTTTTAGACTTAGTAGGTCACTCATATCACATTTAATAGGCATAGTAAATCTAAATCACTGTGGTTTGTGTAAAATATTTGCCCTACAATTACAAGAAAGAACGTGGCTTTTTAAATGACGGACTGTATATAATCACTCAAGTTTTATCTGTTTTAATTTGGAGTAAACAATACTTAAAAATTTAATTCCTTATGCCATTTTAGGCCTACGTTGACTAAATACAGGGAAATGTATAGAATATTTCTGGCATTTTTTCACAACTCCAGACACCATACAAGAAGTTAACGTATAAGTGCAGCTTGCTGGCTCGCAGAGTAATGAGTACAGCACTTGCTGGTGCCTTTCTTTGGGCCTGCGGGTCGTAGACAACTCAGTATAATGTGATGTTCTAAACCAGAATGAATAAATATTTTAGTTTTTCACAGCAGGAATGGGTGTCTCAGGAAGAGATTTTCAGTACATAAGCAAGCAATTTATAAACATAAATATCACAATCCAGTTAAAAACATACTAACTGAAAAGTCATTCATTTGTTTTGATTTAAGTACAATAACTTATCATTAGCTCTGGGCATCTTGACAATTATTTAAAATAGCAATACGTAATTTATAACCTACCAGCACAGCACATGATAAAGCTGATGTCATTTTTCAGACAGTAATTTAAATATCCACTAAATATTTAACACCTACATCTTAAACCCATCTTACCTAAATCTTGAGTTGCTCCATAACTCTAACAAATGCTCTTTGTAGTATTTGTAACACTGTGTAGGGAACTAGTTGATAGCACTTTTGAAAAACAGATGACTTCCTCATATACACCTACTTTTTTATTTGCTACGCTTTTTTTTTGGAACATTTTTTGGTATATTTGTACAAGTGTAACATTGCAAACTATATCACAACTATGCAAGAAAATTTCAGGTTGGAGGAAAATAATTCCTGTTCCAGAGCATGAGTAAAGTAATTTTTTTTTTACTTTGACCAATGAGAGTATCAGCTTTGTAAACTACTGAAGTGTATCTGAGAGAATCAAACTTATCTAGCAGGAAATTGACAAATTGATTTAGAAAAATCATTGGAACCAATAGAGAGTAATAGAGTAAGCGCATTCTTTATCTTCTTGTAGAAACGCACAACAGCAGTACTGCTTAATGTTATTGATTGACACTGTCAATTATTTCCCGTGTTCCCCTGTGCAGAGAATTTATCAGCCACCTCCGGCTCTACAGAGCCTTTTACGGTGGCCTGGCTGATCAGCTGTGCGGTATCGAGTTGGCAGCTGCTGATGGACTCCCGTGTTGGAACGGAGAAGATGTTGTAAGAAGGTACCTTTCTGACTCACTTTTTTCTTTTGTATTTCGTGTTTCTCTAAAGTAGCTTCCAACTTGAGTCAAGTACATTGTTTCCCTAGGTGTGTGTCAAGGTTGGTTTGAAAAACAAATCAGCATGAGTTTCGTTCTCTCAGGCTTCACCTGTAAACAGTAAAAAAAATCTCCCTGCATCTCTATTTTAAGGAAAAAAAGAATTCTACTGTTCTTCAGACATTTCTCCTGCAAATTTACAGAACCTAAATATATACTGGAAAAGAAGCTGGATTGGCATTTACAAAATACAACTGGAGAAAGAGAACATGGATTTTTGTTTGAGCTTGATCTTTATAAAATGCTCCTTTTAATACAGAGTGTGTGATAACAGACTCAAGCTATTTGCTTAAAACTTTCTCTGGCTCTGAAGAATGAAGTAATCTCTTAATATATATGGTTTCTCAGGAGACAGCTAAAGGTTAAGACATGAAGATAAAACATTTTAAAGGTGAAATACATGTATTGTTTTATGTATGGAGCAGCTTGGGAGACATCATTCAGCAGCAATGGCAAAGAAGAGATAATAATAAACCACTATGCTCCTGGATGTGTATCTATCTCTGGAATCAATATATTTCACAGCTTACAAAACACTAGCATTTGTGGATGTCAGAAGGATTTTCAGAGAGCTGATCTCTGTTTTTCCTTTATTGCTCTCATCACCAAAACAAGTATTTCTCTGAGCAGAAAGTCCTTGTGATGACAGAGACCAAAATAGTAAAAGGATCATTGCAATTATTTTTTTTATAAAGAGCATGCTGTTAATACAGCATGTATTAGTAGGTAGTATCAAGGGTCATATCAAGGAAAGTGGCTAAAGGCTGTGAGGTGAGTTAGTAAAGTGGGAGATAGCTGGTACTAAGTAGAAGGACCAGTGACAGCCTGCACCTTCAGGTATCTGTAAAAAGGTTAGGTAGGAGCTGTAATTTATTGATTAATGATACCTAAGGAAACTTAACGGATACCCTTTCAGCAAACAGCTACAGGCCTGCTTTTCTTTATTTTCTTGGGTAGTCCAATGCTTTGGCAGCACCAAAGCCCAATGAGTGGTTGACTCCCTTGATAGTCTCATTGGGAATCTTTGTCCTAAGGTTTCAACAATCTTCTCAAGATGAGATGTCCTCTCTTTAGATATATATATTTGAGATTTAATCTCAACTTTACCTCCTGGCTTTTGTTTTGCTGTCCTTCCCCAAATGAATTATACTACTCCTACCAAATGTTTCAGTAACAATTTGAAGTTAGCATCTTGTAATTACAGATTTCCTAAGAACAAGATTCTTGTATCATTACTTTTGGCTGCTTATAGTCTTACTATTAATATGTTATATCTTTCCAAACGTATATTGTTATATTATATGGTACTATTATATTTTAGTTATTATTACATTATATTATCATACTATTACTATGTTTATACTAGAATAAATAGAATAGAATAGAATAGAATAGAATAGA